CCTTGGAGGCAAGGATTCTGGGGCTTCGTCTGACATACTTTGGACATGTTGCCAGGAGGGATGGGTCCTTGGAGAGGGACATCATGCTTTGGAGGGTTGAGGGACAACACAGGAGGGGAAGACCCTCTATGAGATGGATTGATTCGGTGACTGGGGTAATCGGGATGGGTGTGTCAGAGGCGGTGCGTTTGGCACAGGATAGAGCAGGGTTTAGGGCTGGTGTGCATAGGGTCGCTATGAGTCGGAAATGACTCGAAGGCACATAACAACAACAACACATTCATATACATTCTATTTTACTTTTTTAAATTAGTTTGCTTACAAAGTTTATGTACATTATGTTTCATAATATTCTCCATTCACATTGTGTTTAATATAATTATTCTCATACATTATATTTTATAAAATTAATCACCATCCGACCATCCCTCTCATTACCTTGTCTTTTCTCCCTAATCCTTTCCATTTGCTCCACCCACCAAAATGTGCAGCCTTTTGGTTTCACCCTATTTATCCTCTCCCCTTCACTCTCCCTTGAGTTTCTGTACATGTTTTACTAGATATCCTTCTCTTTTTATAATTGTTTATACAGTATTTGTCCTTATGAGACTGTTAGTTCACTCAGCATAATGCTCTCCAGCCTCTCTCAAGTTAAGAAGTATTTTTCAAAATCATCGCTCTTTAGTGCTTGCGTAGTATTCCGTTGTGTGAATGTACCACAATTTCTCAAGCCATTCAGTTGTGGCTGGACATTTGGGCTGTTTCCATGTTCTTGGTGAATAACACTGCTATTGCCATTGGTGTACAAAACTCTGTTTGTGTCACAGTTCTAATATCTCTGGGGTATATTCCTAGTAGTGGAATAGCTGGGTCATATGGAATTTCTATGTTCAAATTTTTTAGGAAATGCCAAACTCTCTTCCAGAGTGGTTGGACAAGTTTACAATCCACCAACAGTGTATGAAAATTCCCACCTCTTCGCATCTTCTACAACATTTATTGCTTGCTGTCCTGCTAAACTTTACCACTGCTACTGGAGAGAGATGGTATCTCATTGTAATAAAACTCCCATCTTCTGATGCTTTCTAGGCCATTCAATATATTGCCCATAGCATCTTTCAATATTTCAACTTGAGGCTTAAATTTGTTTTTCAACAAATCCTGGCTGAAAGTAAAGGATACCAGAAAAAAAATGTTTATTTGTGCTTTATTGACTATGCAAAGACATTTGACTATGTGGCTCATAACAAGTTGTGGCTGACACTGAGAGGAATGGGAGTCCCAGAGCACTTACTTGTGCTCATGCCAGGCATATACCTTGACCAGGGAATAATTGTGTGAACAGATCAGGAGAACGCCGCATGGTTTGAAATTAGGAAGGAAGAGTGTCAGGATTGTATTCTCTCTCCATACATATTTAATCTGCCTCAGGATTGGAGGGAGACTTGTAAATAACCTACATTATTCAGATAATACAACCTTGTTTGGGGTAAGTGGAGAGGACTTGAAACACTTTTTTGCAGAAGATCAAGGAATGCAGCCTTCAGTACGGATTGCATCTCAATGTTGAGAAAACGAAGATTTTTACCACTAGACTGATATGCAATGTCATGATGGATGGATAAGAGACTGACTGTAACTGTCAACAACTTCATCTTGCTTGGATTCACAATTAACACCCTTAGTACCAGCAGTCAGGAAATAAGGAGAAGCATTGCACTGGGAAAACCTGCAATT